GTAAATATCTGTATAGATTTTGTCCTGTCCCCTTCCAAGGTTACACCCATTCACAATCCCATTTATAATCACCGTAGTAGTGTTTGATTGTAACTCTGTATACTCCTGAAACACACTTCATCTTTGCCCCACTGATAATAGCCAGGCCATTCAACTTTCCCTCTCTTGGCTAATTGGACTGTGATACTGGTCTGTATTCCTGATAGGAAATGGTAAATGGTGCTGTTCTGAAGTACTTTTTCTGGTTGGAATACAAATTCTCAAACCTGATGACAAGAGCAGTCTGGCAACCTCCTAAACAGACTGCTGGGGAAGTGGGGAGGGGTCAGAAAGAGGGTGAGAGCTGGGTATAGTTAAAGTAGTTTGTTTGCATGTATAAAAAGAAAACAATGAGACCTGTTTTAAGGAGTAGGGCCAGGCACTGGTAGCTCATGCCTGTAATCCTAGCTACTAAGGAGGCTGAGATCTGAGGATTGTGGTTCAAAGCTAGCCTGGGAAGAATGTCCATGAAAGTCTTATCTCCAATAAACTACCAGAATATGGAAGTAGTTCTGTGGCTCAAGTGGTAGTGTGCCAGCCTTGAGCTGAAGAGCTGAGGGACAGCGCCCAGGCCCAGAGTTCAAGCCCCACAATGGAACTCCCCCTCCCCCCGCCAAAAAAAAAAAAAAAAAGGAGTGGGGAGGGAAAGGAAGAGTGATAAAGTAAGTGAGGTTGGTTGGGATACATGTTTATATGTGGGGAAATACCACAATGAAACCTGGTTTGGCCAGGCACTCATGGCTCACACCTGTAATCCTAGCTATTCAGGAAGCTGAGATTTGAGGATCAAGATTAGAAGCCAGCCTGGGCGGACAGATCTATGGACATTATCTCTACTTAACAAGCAAAAAACCAGAAGTAGAGGTATAGCCAAGTGGCAGAGCACCAGCCTTGAGTGGAAAAAAAACTAAGGGACAGTTCCCAAGACATGAGTTCAAGCCTGAGTTCCAGCATAAGAAAGCTAACAACATAGCCAGAGGTCAGTGGCTAATGGCTGTAATCCTACCTACTCAGGAAGCTGAGATCTGAGGATCACTGTCTGATGCTAGCCTGGGCAGGAAAGTCCGTGGGACTTTTGTCTACAGTTCACCAAAAAGCCAGCAGTGGAGCTGTGGTTTATGTGGCAGATTGCTCGCCTTAAGCAACAAAAGCTCAAAGACAGCTCCCAGGCTCTGAGTTCAAGCACCAGGACTTGCACACACAAATCTGTTGTTTACACAACTAATATACTGGAATAAAAAGATGAAATGAAATAAAATAATATAAACATATATCAAATCTTGGTCTAGGGATATGGTTCAAGTGGTAAAGCACCTACCTAGCAAGCAGAGGCCATAGTATCAAACCATAGTATCACTAAAGTCAACCATAGTATCACTGAAAAAGAAAGAGTAGGAGAGAAAGAGAGACAGACAGACAGAGACATAAAGAGAGAAAGAGTAGCATTACACCAATATTAAATTTCAGAGTTGGATAATGTAGAGAGGTACTTTGTCCTGGATGAAATGTCAGGATATCGGCTTCATTTTTTTTTTTTTTTTTAGACAGTGTCTTGCCCAGCCCTGGTAGCTGCTGGTAGCTGTGCAATGTGACCCTCCTGCCCCAGCACCCCATATGCTGGGTAATCAGTGTGTACCAGCATGTCAGGATTCTGCAGCTTTTAAAGTAAAAAATTTAGGGCTATTGGGATTGGTACTCAAGCTGGTGCTCTGCCATTGGAAGCTCCAGGTCTTTTTCTTTAGTTATTTTTTTAGGTAAAGGTCTTGTGTATTTGCTGTGCCAGCCTGGACTGAAGTCCTCCTATCAGTATTTCCCCCAGAGATGGGGTGACTGGGCACCACCATGCCCAGCTTGTTATGATGGGATCTCCTGGACCTTCTGCCTTGACTTCCCTCAAACTGTAATCTTCCCAGTCTTAGCCTCCACATCCTTAGTAGTTAGGATTACAGGGATGAGCCACCATGACAAGTCAATTTTTTTTTCCAGTAGAAGCAAATGTAAGAAAGTGCTGACTATTGATCAGTCTAGGAGAGGATAAGAATATAGATGTTCATTGTATTGTATTTCAGCTTTTCTTTGACTTATTTTTTAACACTATGAAGTTGAGGAGTCTACAAGATTTAAAAACCAAATCTCAGAACTGGCACACACACACACACACACACACACACACACACACACACAAAGAAAACAATAAAGCAAAACAAAAACATGGGGGGAGAGAGAGAGAGAGAAATAGACATATGACAGTGTTGGAGCTTGAACTCAGAGCCTCAGACTCTCATTTAGGATTTTTTTTTTTTTGTCAGTCATGGGGCTTGAACTCTGGGCCTGGGCGCAGTCCCTCAGCTCTTCAGCTCAAGGCTCTACCTCTTGAGCCACAGTGCCACTTCCAGTTTTCTGGTGGTTTATTGGAGGTAAGAGTCTCACAGACTTTCCTGCTGGGGCTGGCTTTGAACCATGATCCTCAGATCTCAGCCTCCTGACTAGCTAGGATTACAGGCTTGAGCCATCAGTGCCCAGCCTTCATTTGGGCTATTTTTTTTTTGCTCAAGCATGGCATTCTACCACTTGAGCCACTAATCTCCTAGACTTTTCTGCACAGGCTGGCTTCATCACTCTCCTCAGATCTCAGCATCCTGACCTAGGATTACAGGCAGGAACCACTAGGCTCCTGGCAATGTCTACTGCTTTTTAACCTCTCAAAGGAGAAGGCAGATGCAGATAGCTCTTTCCTGTCTCCTATTCTTGTAATTTAACATCTAAAAGTTGTTGTGGTGAGAGGGGAGCTAGCTCCTTTGTTATTTTTAATATTTTGGAACTATTATTTAATATTTAACTTGGAAAAGTATTTGACAGTAAGTATTAACACTTAGTGTTGATAAACCTCAGTTTCTCTGTCTCAGCTATCCTGCTTTAGCATTGTATGATGCTTTAATGAGATGGCAAATGTAAAGCACTTACATGGGTACCCACTTAGTACAACAGCACATGCATATGTATGCGTGCATGCACGTACACACACACACACACTCAGCCAGTGGCAGTACTATCCCTCCATATACTCAGTAGATGCCTCGTTGCCCAGCCCATCCCCACCCCCATGTCTGCATTCAGTAGCTCAGCATGTTCTGCCTCATTATTCCAAATGCATGTTCTCAACCAGCCGCTCCATAGTCACCTCCTGTCCCAGTATGTATTATGTTTAGTTTTAGCATATCACAAATGCCAGTGACCTGTGCACAGGTACAGCACTTACTCTCTTTTATTCATAGTAGTTCATATTCTCAAGTGACAAGGTTTGTTTTGGACAGGATGTTCGGTTTTGAACTCAGGGCTTCAGCACTTTACCTATGAGCCATGCCTCCACCAATCCCTTCTTTCTTACTTCTTGCAGTAACGTTCTTACTGCTCCTTTTCCTTCTACTCTTGACTCCCTGGCCCCAGAATATCCTCCATGGCAGACATTGTGAGTTTCTTGGGGACCATCACCCTCCTGTGGGAGCCATCCTGTAGTTTTTTACCCTTAGGAACTGACATCAAGACAAGTCTCCTGTCTCTCTATCCTCTTCTCTTAACCCTCCCCATGCTCGCTGCATTCCAGCACATGGAAACACAGCCAGGCTTTGTCCCGTTTCTGGAAACTCTGCCTGAAGCTGCTTCCTTCTCTTCTTCCTCTTCCTTGCTCTTTTTTATTTCTGGTCCTGAGGCTTGAACTCGGGGCCTGCACTCTGTCCCTGAGCCTCTCTGTGCTCAAGGCTAGTGCTCTACCACTGGAGTCACAGTACCACTTCTGGCTTTTTCTGAGTAGTTTATTGGAGATAAGAGTTTCATGGGGGCTGGGAATGTGGCTTAGTGGTAGAGTGCTTGCCTACCATGCATGAATCCCTGTGTTCTATTCCTCAGTACCACATAAACAGAAAATGCAGGAGGTGGTGCACTGGCTCAAGTGGTAGAGTGCTAGCCTTGAGCAAAAGAAGCTCAGGGACAGTGTCCAGACCCTGAGTTCAAGCCCCAGGATTGGCCAAAAAAAAAAAAGTCAAAGGTTTTCCTGCCAGGCTGGCTTCAAACTGAGATACTTAGATCTCAGCCTCCTGAGTAGCTAGGATTGCAGGTGTGAGCCACAGACTCCCAGCCTCTTCCTTGTTCTTTAGGTCCCAGTTGAAATGTCATTTCCTCAGTGAGGTCTTCCCTGACCATCTAATGTTGCAGATTGCCTCCACCTACCAATATCACCTAGCTTACTGTCTTTAGTTATTGTTATCTAAAATTATCTAATTTATTTTTTCAGCCCTCATATGTCTCCATTTAGAATGTAGTCTAGGGGCTGGGAAGGTGGCTCAGTGGTAGAATGCTTGCCTTGCATGCCTGAGGCCCTGGGTTCGATTCCTCAGCACCACATAAGCAAAAAGAAAAAAGCCCGGAAGTGGCGCTGTGGCTCAAGTGGTAGAGCGCTAGCCTTGAGCTGAAGAGCTGAGGGACAGCGCCCCAGCCCAGAGTTCAAGCCCCATGACCGGACCCCCCCCCAAAAAAATTGTAGTCTAAATAGTGAACCTTGTTTCTTGTCCACAAATACACTGTCAACACCAGAACCTTGTGCTGAGCACCAGTGGCGCACGCCTTTCATCCTAACTAATCAGGAGACTGAGATCTGAGGATTCCAATTGGAAGCCAGCCCAGGCTGAGCAGTGCATGAGATACTTATCTCCAAATAATCAGCTAAGCTAGAAGTGAATCTGTGGCTCAAGTGATACAGTTCCAGCCGTGAGTGAAAAAGCTGAGGGAGAGCACGAGACCTCGAGTTAAAGCCGTAGTATCACGACCAAAAGGAAACAACAGCAGAACCTCCAACCATTCCTGGCCTATAGTCGGCACTTGGTAAATGCTTGTGAAATGTACCAGTGCATTAAGTCCTGTGACATAGGTTACAATTCTATAACGTCTAGCATTCCATCCCGCAGGCCAGGGTGTGTCACTGTACATCCCCCAGTCGGCCATCAATGCCACCGTTGACGAAGACATTCTGCTGTCGGTGGACTACTCCTGCCACGGGGTGCCCACCATCGAGTGGAGGTACACATCCACCTGGGGCATGCAGAAGATTGTGGAGTGGAAACCAGGGACTCCAGCCAACGTTTCCCAGAGCCACAAGGACAGAGTCTGCACTTTTGACAATGGCTCCATCCAGCTGTTCGGTGTGGGCGTGCGGGACTCCGGCTACTATGTCATCACGGTGACAGAGCGCCTGGGGAGCAGCCAGTTCGGCACCATTGTCCTGCATGTGTCCGGTGAGCGCCCGTGGGCCCTCAGAGCTGCAGGTGAGGTGGGGGGGGGGGGGGCGGGGGAACAGCAGACATAGTGACATTAAAGGCCTATGTCTCCCCCCTCTCCCTTCCCCCTAGAGATTCTTTATGAAGACCTTCACTTTGTCGCTGTCTTCCTTGCCTTGCTCGCTGCCGTGGCTGCAGTGTTGATCAGCCTCATGTGGGTGTGCAACAGATGTGCATACAAATTCCAGAGGAAGAGAAGACACAAACTCAAAGGTAATGCTCTGAGCCTAGGAAAGCAAGGACGATCCACTCATGGCTTTTTGGCCAGGCCAAAGATGGTCTGTGTTGTCTTTTTGTTGTTTTTGTTCGTTTTTTGGTGCCAGTCCTAGGTTTTGAACTCAGGGACTGGGCAAGCACTGTCTTTGGGCTTTGTCGCTCAAAGCTAGCACTTACCACTTGAGACACAGATCCACTTCCCATTTTTTCACTTGTTTTTTGGTATTTAATGTGGAGATAAGAATCTTGCGGACTTTTCTGCCCGAGTTGGCTTCAAACCTCCATCCTCAATCTCAGCCTTCTGAGTAGCTAGGATTAGAGGAGTAAGCCTCTTTTGCCCAGCTGGTATAAGTTGTCTTTGATAGTATTGGGGCTTAAAGTCAGTGTCTCTTCCTCTTCCTTTAGCTTTTTCATTCAAGGCTGGTGCTCTGTTCGTTACTTAAGCCACTCCATCTAGCTTTTTGTTGGTTAATTGGAGATAAGAATCTCACAGACTTGCCGGGCGCTGGTGGCTCACGCCTGTAATCCTAGCTACTCAGGAGGCTGAGATCTGAGGATCGCGGTTCAAAGCCAGCCCGGGCAGGAGAGACCGTGAGACTCCTATCTCCAATAAACCACCAGAAAACCAGAAGTGGCGCTATAGCTCAAGTGGTAGAGCGCTCGCCTTGAGCTGAAGAGCTGAGGGACAGTGCCCAGGCCCAGAGTTCAAGCCCCACGATCGACAAAAAAAAAAAAAGAATCTCACAGACTTTTAAACTCAGGCTGTTTTTTTTTTTTTGGGTCCAGTCGGGGGGCCTGAACTCTGGGCCTGGGCGCTGTCCCTCAGCTCTTCAGCTCAAGGCTAACTCTACCACTTGAGCCACAGTGCCACTTCCGGCTTTTTTCTTTATGTGGTGCTGAGGAATCGAACCCAGGGCCTCAGGCATGCAAGGCAAGCGTTCTACCACTGAGCCACCTTCCCAGCCCCTCAGGCTGTTTTTTAAAACACAGTCCCGGGCTGGGAAGGTGGCTCAGCGGTAGAACGCTTGCCTTGCATGCCTGAGGCCCTGGGTTCGATTCCTCAGCACCACATATGCAAAAAGAAAAAAGCCGGAAGTGGTGCTGTGGCTCAAGTGGTAGAGCGCTAGCCTTGAGCTGAAAAGCTGAGGGACAGCGCCCAGGCCCAGTGTTCAGGCCTCACGACCGGACCCACAAAACAAAACAAACAAACAAAACACAGTCCCTAGATCTCAGCTTTCTGAGTAGCTAGGATTACAGGCTTCAGCCACCGCCTTGGGCATTGTGTTGTTCATCCTGTGTGTCAAGGTACCAGTGGCTCATGCCTATAGTCCTAGTTACTCAGGATGCTGAGAACTAAGGATTGCAGTTTGAAGCCAGCCAGAGCAGGAAAGTCCATGAGACTCTTTCTTTTTAATTTTTTTCTAGGCCCGAGACTGGGATTTGAACTCAGTATCTGTGGCTGCTTTCGCTCATTGGCTAGAGTTCTTACAACTGAGCCATGCCTCCAATCCTGAGAATCCTATTTTAATTAACCACCAAAAAAAAAGAAGAAAAAGCAAAGCTGGAAGAGGCACTGTGGCTCCAATAATAAAGCATCAGCCTTGAGCACAAAAGCCATGGACTGTGCCCAAGCCCTGCCCTGAATTCAAGCCCCAGGACCGGCACCCACAAAAAGGGAGAGGAGGGGTGGCTAGAATGTGGGTTAGTGGTAGAGTGCTTGGCTGGCATGCATGAAGCCCTGGGTTCAATTCTTCAGTACCACCTAAACAGAAAAAGCCAGAAGTGGCACTGTGGCTCAAGTGGTAGAGTGCTAACCTTGAGCAAAAGAAGCTCAGGGACAGGGCCCAGGCTCTGAGTCCAAGCCCTAGGACTGGGGGGGAGGGGGGGAGAAGCACCACTATAATCATTGTATAGTTGACTTTCATTTTATTGGCTTGTCTTTTGCTTCACAGAAAGCACAACTGAAGAAATTGAGCTACAGGATGTTGAGTGTTAGCCACAGCTGGGCCCAATTACTTTGCTACCTCAATACCTCAAGAGGAAAGCTTTATTTTCCAATGAAACGAACAAACAGAGCCAGAGCCAATCTGTTCTTCAATCTCCTATGGTCTTGTCACATAAGCCTTCCCAGTGAGACATCTGGAAGGGAAAGAAAATTGACAACATGGAGTTGAAGACTGCAGATTAAACAAATTCAACTTTAGGACTTGCATGAAGTTCACAGAGCAGCTTTGAACCAGGAACTTTGCTTGGCTGCAGCTTCAAGGCCTTGTCTATAACCCATAACTATCGGATGCTGCTCATGACTCTCAAATGGACTTGGATGGCCTTGGGGAGCTTCTGTCTCAGGGGCCAGTGTCTCCAGAGGGCCTGGTCTGCAGCCAGCACTGGAAGACACTCTGTAACTTTATGCTCCTGTCTGCTCTGAAAATAGCTGCACCTCCCAGGAGGGGCTCATGGGATAGTGTCTGTCCAGTGAATGCAAGACCATGAGTCCAAACTCCAATACTTCCTCCAAAAAGAGCAAGCCTGAGAGGTGCTGTAGCAAGTTGCTAAGAGGTGAGGGCCTGTGGCTTGGAGTATTAGAAAAGCTCAGGGTGCTTCTTTGGATACAAAGAAAAGAAAGAAAAACATTGTTCTATTTCTCCTTCATTCCAAAATCAGCTGGATTTCTCCTCCTTAGGCCCAGCTTAGGTCAATGTGAGGAAAGTGCAGCTTACCTCCACCAGGGGCAGCACCTGCAGCCAATGTGTGAGACTGAAACCTTTCTAGTGGATGGAACAACTGGAACTCAGTTTTCTTGGGCAGTCGCTAATACTTTACGCATCTAGTCGAGGTCCCTCCTCTCCTCATGTGGGCTGAGAAGCACTTGGCCTTCACCTACCTCATAGTTAGGATATGAAGGGAGGCCACAGATCGCATACTGCATCTGAGCAATGCAAGAGAAGCATGAGAATTCGTCAAAGATCTGGAAAGCTGTATTGCCAAGTGCTGTCTTATCTGAGTATTGGGAATGACAATGTCCTGGGGTTCTGGGCCCGTTGAGCTTAGGGGTCAGATCAGTTGGCCGTGGGCCTTATTTTCTCAGGTTGGTGGTCACAGTGTTTACCATGCCAGCTTCCACTGAAAAAGCTCTAAAAGCAGGCAAGAATTTATTTTCCACTCCTTTCTCTCTACTGTTCCTAACTGGACCAAAGTCACCACCTTAGTCATGATGGAAGGCTGAGGTCCTTAGCTATGTTTCTACAGCACAGCCGAAAAATCATGCATACAAAAATGGAGTGTTGCTAGAACATTCCTTTTCTTTAAGATCCTCCATGTGGGGGCTGGGAAGGTGGCTCAGTGGTAGAGTGCTTGCCTTGCATGCCTGAGGCCCTGAGTTCGATTCCTCAGCACCACATAAGCAAAAAGAAAAAAGCCGGAAGTGGTACTGTGGCTCAAGTGGTAGAGCGCTAGTCTTGAGCTGAAGAGCTGAGGGACAGCGCCCAGGCCCAGAGTTCAGGCCCATGACCAAACCCAAAAAAAAAAAAAAAAAAGATCCTTCATGTCCCTACTTTTTCTACTGTCCATGTGGCAGGTAAGGAGTTACCTGGAGAAGTCATTTACAGGCCTTTCCCTAAACAGTGAGTCCAGAGCTACAGGAAGGGACCAGACAGGAGCTGGCAGTGATCTTGAGAAAGGCTCCAAATATTCCAGTGCACTTCCCCAAAGACATGAAAGCAATGGGGCTGCACACCTGACATGTAGCTCTGTACCTGACACCTCAGGCCACATCCTGGGTCTCCTCCTCACATTATTGTAGTCAGAAACCAGACCACTTCCAGGACAGTTTCTGTGCACACAATGAAGAAATGCTTTAGAAGAGATCAAAGATAATCTGTCTCCTTCCTCAGAGCACTACCAGTAGGCTGGAGCTTGGAACTGCAGGAGCATCACTTTTTTAAAAAATTTATTTTATTGTTACTGTAAAGGTGATGTACAGGGGCTGGGAAGGTGGCTCAATGGTAGAGTGCTTGCCTTGAATGCATGAGGCCCTGGGTTCGATTCCTCAGCACCACATCAGCACATGGTGCTGTGGCTCAAGTGGTAGAGCTCTAGCCTTGAGCTGAAGAGCTGAGAGACAGTGCCCAGGCTGAGTTCAGGTCCCACAACTGACTGTAACTGTAGTTGCATAAGTCAGGTAATGAGTACATTTCTTTTTGAATAGGGTCACTTCGTTCCTCGTTTTCTCCCAGTTTTTCCCCTCCTGGCCTCCTTCCTTCACAAGGTGTATAGTTCATTTCCAACAGTGTCTAGTGAGTATCACTACTGCATTTGTTCACCCTTTGTTCCACCCTTTCTATGTTCCCCCTTACCCTCCTCAAAACAGATAAACTTACCAGACAAAAGGTACAGAAAACCAGTGGCAAAGGAGAAAAAAGAAAAGCAAAATTAAAACACCTCACTTAAATTTTTTGGAGTTCATTTTGATAAACATTTTATATGATTATATGCATATAGGTATTGAGCCTTTATGATCCTAAGAATGTCCTTTGGTCTCACTGTGAACGTCTAGAGTCTTGTATAATTTATCATGTCCAAGTGTTGTTGTATTTTTTTTTGTATTCTACCATCCAGTGTGTTTACATGTGGATTTATAGGCACAAATTAGTTACAACAAATGAGGGAAACCATGCAACCTGTGTTTCTTTTTTCTTTTTGGGTCCAGTCATGGGCCTGAATTCTGGGCCTGGGCGCTGTCCCTCAGCTCTTCAGCTCAAGGCTAGCACTCTACCACTTGAACCACAGCGCCACTTCTGGCTTTTTTTTCTTTTTGCTTATGTGGTGCTGAGGAATAGAACCCAGGACCTCATGCATGCAAGGCAAGCACTGTACCACTGAGCCACCTTCCCAGCCCCCAACCTGTGTTTCTTTGTGTCTGGGTTACTTCGCTTAACATAATTTTTTCCAAATCTTTCCATTTCCTTATGAATGGTACAATATCATTCTTTCTGATGGAAGTACAGAATTCCATTGTGTACATATACCACATCTTCTTGATCCACTGAGGGGCAACTGGGTTGATTCCCTATCTTGGCTATGGTAAATAGTGCTGCAGTGAACATGGTTGTACTGATAGCTTTAGTGTAGTTGTGGTCATTTGGGTAAATGCCCAGGAGTGGAATTGTTGGGTCATAGGGAAGCTCTGTTGTCTTTTGAGGAACCTCCATACTGCTTTCCAGAGTGGTGAGCTCCTTGGGATTCAGGTATGGGAAGCTTCATAATTAAGGGAAAGGGTCTCCAGTGGAGGCCTTTATGGGCAAACTCATATGTAAAGAAAAAGGTTATTTTCTCAGCTTACTATTTCTTTGAAAAGGGAATGTTTGTGCACTTTAAAGCTTTCCCATTTTAAAATTACAGAGCCTAAAGTGTTTGCTCATTATTAAGGAAAATACTAAATAATAGACATCGTTTAATTTAATGTTGTTTACATTTCAAGCTGTGAAAAATCAATGAATTAAATAAAAGCTGAAAATAAAGTCCTGGTCCTTTGTGTGAGCCCACTCCTACCAAGAACTCAAAGGTGCAGGATAAGGTTTTTGGTCAGCACTGAACACATAGAAGACTCAAATATGCACATCCCCTGACATCTGGCACATATTTTAAATAACAATGGAAGTAATCACATTGGTTCTATGTATTGTAGCCTGAAGACCCCCTTTGTAATTTTGCAGCATCCCTTCTGCTTCTGTGAACTGCCCTAAGTAGAATGTGATGACTACATGACTACTGCCTAGATAAGTATGAGGCAGGATAGATTAGGGGAAAGGAGGCATGGTAAACAGCAGCCAGGAATTGAGAAACAACCACTGTATTTAGAAACATAGAAGCCCTATCTTCTTTGCTGTAACCCTTACAAACTTATAAACCCTTATAAATTTATAACTTCATAAATTGCAATATTAGTACAGGATAAAGAAAAAGGCAAGAACAGCTTTCTCCATCTGGCTTCCTGATGGTCCAGAATAACTAGTGTGCTCTGAAAAAACAGCAAGGGCACCATAAGGAAAAAAAAAAAAAAGACATGTATCCTGGAAGAGCAAATACCGAAGAAAAATGACTCCTCCAGGCACCAAGTACTTATTTCAAGGATGGGCATCTGTCTTGAAAGAAAAAGAAAAAAATGGCAGAATGCATTCTTTGAAGGAATGCCCAAACAATCAAAGTTTAATGAGCAGGGCAGTCTTAGAGACCCTAAGCCCAAGGGATAAAAGTTTACCACCAAGGGTGATTAAATGCACAAGGAATGAGAACAACAACAAAAAAAACACTTATCCTAAGATAACTTTTAACTCAAACCTTGCTTTGATCATGTATAGCCCTGGTGTCAAAGAGCTTGGCTGGCTCTGAGCACCCGCTCTCTGTAACAAAGAGTATGTCTCTGCCTTTCTGTTTTCCTACTTCTTTGCTTGCTTACTCAATAAATCTCTGCTACATTTTCTTAGCATTGTGACTTGTCTGAAAATTCTTATTCTGTAATCCAAGTCAAAGACCTGGGACTAAAACCCAGTAGGGTCTAGAGGGAACTTCCCAAAACCTCACCTGGAACCAGTAACAAGTGTACCACAAGTTCTCTGGAACATACAAACTTTGTCAAGTGTCCCTGGTTAAGAGTGAACAACAAAAAGATGGTTCCTAGCCAGATGCCTGTGATTCATGTTTGCAATCCTAGCTACTCAGGAGGCTGAGATCTGAGGGTAGAGATTCAAAGCCAGCCTGGGCAGACAAATCAAGAGATGCCTATCTCCAGTGAATCAGCAAAAAGCCCAAAGTGGATCTGTGATAGAGCACCAGCTAAGTCAGTGGCCTGGCTGTGGAATGTAAGCCCAAGGATTGGCACAGGAGAAGAGCTGTTCTTTCTCATTTCATAGTGTTCTGGCATGCAGAGAGCTGAACCAGAATCATGTCCTCTCGAGTCCATTGGAGAGTGCACTTGAGGCTTCCTCTGATCTGAAGTAAAGCTATACCAAGGTGAGGGGCAGAAGCAGAGGTCAGAATACAATCAGGAGATTGCCCACTGCCACAATCTGAGAGAGGATACCACTTAACTCATGGGGCTAAGTGCAACCATGGGTGAGAAGTGGAGTGCCAAGAACTATCAAGCCACCAAATGTGAGGAGTGAACCTGCAGGAGACTCAAAATCAGCTCCCCCTACCAAGCCATGTGAGCTGTCAGGGCATGTGCTGTTGGCACCTCCACCCTTTACATGCTGGCTGCTGAGGCTGCTGTCCCGGACCACTGACCTTTCAAAAAACAGGTATGTGTGTTCCATTTAATTTCAATATAAAGACTGTAAGTCTTACTCAACAAGCCAAGTGATACTTAAATCTATGCATACTAAAAGTTCT